TTTGACTATTAGTCGACATTACGCTAAAAAAAGACACTCAAAGGTTTTTGTATAATGGAGAGTTCTTTGAAATAAGAACTTTCATATCGAATATCCGTCACTTAACTCTTTATATAGAGCTATGTAACACTGAAACCTTTAGCTTGTCCATTGTGGTAATGGGTCCTGAATTAGTCTTTGACAGGACACTTTGCGGTGTTTCTACCTCGTCAGCGATCGACGAGGGATCCTAATTGTTCGCTTAATTTGCCCAAGCATTTCCGTCCTATCTTCGCATGATTGGCTTTCAGCCGAGATGCTGCTTCGCACGACACGATAACAGAAAGACGTTCTTTCCGAAGAACAACCTCACATTCTTGAGCATAATTAAACGATAAAAAAAACATTTTTAATAGCCTAATATCATAAATTTATTCTTAATTATGGCTGATTAGTGTCAGTTTCGTTCCACAATTATAGAAAAGTAAAATAACAACGCAAATAAAGAATTAATAATATTTTAGATAATGTAAAAATTTTGATATAAACGAATATAAATGTTTATTATTGAAAGTTGTGCGCAATTTAGCCGAAAATCTATATTGTGAAAATCTATAAACTCGGTGGAAACTATTTAGTTTGTTCCCGCAACTGTCACGTATTCTCGTGAAAACATTGCCCTCGATGGCCACGTCACGCCTCTTTACCGCTATAACTTCGTAATTTAGTTGAAATTCATGCACAAGCTTTAGTGCGCAATTTAATTAACGTGGAGCCTGTTATATATAACAACTGAATAATTTCTTTAATTAGCACAATTTAATTTAATTTCCACTTATCATTAATATCATTAATAATTACGTACCAATGTGCCTACGATACATTATGTAAGAGTCCCGAAGAAAAGATCATGTTAATTATTTATTATTTCGATTATGCGCATTCAGAGAGAGTCAACATACTGTAATTAGACTAGTTATCGCAGACATTAAACCTTGCGACATTAAAACACGTTAAATGACCAGTGAATCCATAAAGCCGCTTATGAACAAAATTACACACAATTAAGTAAAAGATTTACAAAACCCCCACGGAGAAGAACTTGCGGTTTATAATTGTTATGAGTTGTCGCAGTAACATTAAGTATTGTATGTAGCAATGCGGTCGTAATTCCGTAAATATCGTCAGTATATGCAAAAAAAAAAGAAAGACGGTGGTTGTAAATACGTGGAGCTATAAAATTGTAGAAGTTCACGTAGTGTGTTCGCCAAGGCAAGTACTTTTATCGCCGTAGAAGCAATAAAAACAAGAGAGAGAAAGAGAGAGAGAGAGAAAGAGAGAGAGTGAGTGAGTGTGAAAGAGAGAGGAGGGGGGGGGGAGGAGAGCTTTGTAACCAGGAGATCTAAACTCGAAACAAGAATCTCTTTTACTCTCTTCTCCGATTGTCCCCGTTTCGTGAAACCACCGATGCTCCACTGCGAGTTCGAGATAGAGTATTAAAGACACTAGCGTGATATTTAGTTTATTTAAAACGTTGAGATACGAGGAAGAGAAAGTTGTATACTTCTCTTATAATTTCTTGCTAAATTAAATTACATATCTCTTTGCTCCAAATCTCTTTGCTCTTTTTCCTTCTAAAAATTTAATTTCTACAGATATAAGATTATTAGTACTTTTCATATACTTATGTTCCATCGCTCGACGTTAGAGAAGCTTTGCAGAGATGATTAAGTGACTTGCTTAGCTAAGGTGCTTGTGCGAGGAACTTAAACGACCCTTTAGAAAATGAAGAGGAGTGAAAGAGAAAGGGAGAGAGAGAGAGAGAGAGAGAGAGAGAAAGATCAATGTAGTTTCAAACTTTGCGACAGAAGCCGAACCGCGCGTACCGGAACGCATTAGAATTATAAAGATAAAGTCGCTATGATTCAGGAAAGAATTAAAAGTAACTTTATCCCAGTTGTTTGCAAAAGCTTTATCTAAAGTTTATTATCTTCCAATGCACTCCGCGATAAAATTTGCCTCCAAATGTCTGAATATGTAAATGTAGTATCGCATTGGATACAACTGGAGCGCGTAGCTGCGGCGCGCAGAATGTTTGTTACAATTAAAATTGGAGAAGTTGTATACGAGATGAAAATTGCGGATACCGCGCGCGCTGCTTGTGCACAAGGAGGGAAAAACAGAAATTATGCGAACACGCGGAAAATATCGTTGTCGTATCTCGTGGATGCTTAATTCGACTGGAGATCCGTTCGGAATTTAAATTTATGAAAACTACGGGGACCTTTAAAAGCAGCTGCTTATAGCGCCAAAGCCTTTGTATGAGGAAGATAGATCAGCGAAAATAAGCTTTCTTAGAGTGAACAGCAATTTCGCTGCGAGAAGGATCCATCAGCGAAATCCGGCAAGGGAAATGCATGGTGGAGCACGGCTACAATAATATGCCGTCCAATTCTCCTTTTTGTCGTGTAAACCTCCTTTTCCGTAAAATGTGAAATACATCCAACGACATGTGCACAATGGCTGGTGAACTTCCTGGAAATATATGTTTGATTTATACATTCAAGTGCATTTCTTGGGGCCCTGGATTTTCTCGTGAAACTCCTACCAAAAGAGGTTGTAAAACGTGATGTGAGCTGTAAGCCACAGTAATAGCAGCGATGACGGAAGACGATCATCGAATGGCATGTGTCAATTAATGACGTAGTTAAGTCGCAACTTATCAGACTATGTTTACTCTATCTAGCGCGCAGCGTAAACCGATTAGAATATCCAGTTTACGCTCCGAAGACGACGGAGAATTAGCTATTAACAAGTGACGATAGAATATTTAGCGTCCATAGTGGTCTACGTATTAATTAAAGCGTAATCTCGCCGATGTGTAACACGCGTTGTAATACTTTCTGCTCGCTTGTCTCCTATTTCACGTTCAATGGTAAAGTCGTATATTCCGCATTTTATGCGAACAGCCGAGGACGATTATTTCGTAAAGTTCCCGGAATCATAAATTTCGGTTAGGTCAATCGCCAGTTCGGATCTCTTGTGCACATTTACGAGCAAATTCGACTGAGAAATGAACCCCGTAGGAATCGATATACCAGTCGAGTGAGTAGTGAGTTCGAGATGCCGCTGGAATAGTAAATAGGATACGAATTTACGAGGGAAACAATATTGATATGTTTTTCAACAGAAATGTTTTTCGCATCCGTGTACGTTTTTTGCAATATTTACGCATTACACGTTTGCATTATGCATTTGCAATATTATTTTCTTTCCGTTTTTTGTTTTTGTGCTTGATGTGATTTCTTTATTAATTTCCTCTCGTATTCCACCACGATCTTCTTCCGCTTGTACAGTAATTGTAAGCAATTTCTTATGTAAAGGAATTTTTTAAAGGTAAAATTATTTTTAATATTTTCCAGCGAGGCGGGTAGATCGTATTGTGAATTAAATTTAAATTCTAACCCTCGCTCGCAGCGCGCATTTCACTCCTTATCATCGAATAATACTTTGCAATATTATTTTTCCCCTCAACTGTATGCTGCTGTACTTTTCTGTAGAAGATTCGACATCTCTTATAACTGCATTTCTGCTTTGTCGAGTTTCAGCGTCGAAATTTCATTTCGCGATAGAAGCTTGGTAGTGACAGTGCCATCCCGTGTCATGCGATTTAAATCTCTCCCTTGTTTTCTCAGTTCTCATGCGCGTAGACGTTTGTCCCCTTTTTGGAAAATCGAACATTTTCCAAAGTGAGAATTTGCCGCAGATACGGGATATAGCGCGGAACGTGCCGCCATGTCAATTTAACCCCTTAGCTGTTAAAATCGACTATTGTCACCTGTAGAAAAGCTATCTCCGCGTATGTATCTATACGCCACTCAGAAGTATCTATCGTTCTGCAAATCGCGAGAACTTCTCTCCGACAAAGTCGCATAGTATTATGATTACATTTGCGCTGTTGTCTTAATGCAGAGGTAAAAGTATATTATGCAATGAGCATTTACTCCCTTAATTTTTTCTTTCTTCACTTTACTCAAGTTACGACACCGTAAAATGTGTTAGCGTAAAAAACAATTTAGTACGCTGGCGTAATATGAGATGCATGAGTTTTTATTTATTTTAAAAAATAAAATTTTTCTTATCCAAATATCATTACTTTTTGATATGATACTGCAAATTGTAAAATAACGTTTTGGCGAGGAAAGAAAAGATTGGCAAACATTTCAAAAATAATGAATGTATGTATCGCGTCTCAACGTTAAAATACTATTTTTGCTGCGTTTTACATTTTTCTCTAATAACGTTCCCTCTGTTTAATTTACTCGAATTTTCAGACGCGAAGATTTCTTTCTCCGTTTATAACAGCTGACGCGGCGAACAGTTTTATCGCTCACGGGATCCGCACGAAACTTTTATCACACCGCGTTCCACAGAATTTGCAAAATAGTATGCAGTCTCCTCCTGAATATGATCACTCCGCGCTATTTGCCGCGTCTGCTTTTACGATACATAAGTTTGCCGTTGCAAAGTATCTCTATCGCAAATGCAAACCGTACATATGGACAGACCTTCGTGCAAATTCTTCCCGAAACTGGGTTAAGTCGCGAATTAAATTTTCCCTTACCGCGGTAAAATCCTCTTCCGGGGGGGAAAAAAAGATCGTGCAAACTTTTCGATGCAACGTTTGCCGTGTATTTACGCATTCCATTTTATTGCGTTTGCGCAATGCCAGTATTACGGTACCGACGGTAACTCTATTTTTATTTGTCATATATACACACACACGGGACGCAAGTGGTGATGTGAAAATCAGTGACGCATGATACGATGAGAAATAGAGGGTGTGATAAATTTAAATGAATCTTTGAATATTTGATAGCGCAATTGGAAATGCAATTTCCGATTATTCGGAAAGAAGAAAATTTGTTGCATCAAGAATAGAATACCGATTGAAAGTTTATAATCATGATTATTTATAAAAGAAGTTTCGGAGTAAAATGATCGTGATCTTTCTTTTCCAGGTGGTGTAATCTGTGGAAACCAATGACCGACTCGATCCGCGGTCTTTGGTGAAATCAGTCGATCGTCGATCGTCGTCGCAAGCGTGGCAGGGAATCAAAATGTGACGCGCAATGTACCTCTGACAGTCTCGCATAGAGGATCAGAGGATCACGTAGCGCTGGACTGATAGTAAGTGTGTTCCGCCATTCGAGGGAGGTTGCATAAGAAATCAAGAGATCGTTAGATCGCAAGAGCGACATGGACAATTCGCAGGGCAGACTTAAAGCCGCGACTCCGCCGGGGAAATCCAATTATTTTAAAGTAGTTCGCCGGAAACTTCCTTCCGGTTTCTCCGGCTTACTTCCGAAGCCAATCGCACCTTAATTTTGTTTGCAGTGAGCACAATCGACGGTGATTTCGTCGTATTGTGCACGGCCGTCCAATAGCGCGATCGCACGGCTCAGGGTGACATAAGACCATTTCGTTCATTCGCCAAAGTTCCCTCTTTTGTCCGCAACTTTTGTCCCGCAACTTGTATTCGGCGCATACTCGCGGATTTTAATGATGAGAAATATCCGGGAATAATCTGCTTTTCGCGTCACTATTAGAAGTACTTCAATATTGTCTCTTCAATATTGTCACTGTAAATTGACAAGTCATATACTATATGGATTGAAAACAAATTAAATTTTTGATTGCGCGAGAACGATGGAGATTCAAGAGCCATGACCTCGTGCGTGATTAATGTCACGATAAGTACCGAATATTCGACAAGTGCCCTTTCGCGTTCATGCCAATTGCGCCCCGTCGATTGCTGTTGAGAGACAGAGGCACGGCATACCGCGGTTAATGCTCCACACTCGAAACATTACGAGTTAGCGTTCGATTTACTAATGAAGTAAACGATGCACGCTAATACATCGCGTATAATTCTAATGCTATTATCTACCTGCGAATGTTCCATGTTAAACACGCGAAATCAATCGTGTCTCCTGTAATTGTGCGCGAACGTGTTTCGAGCGGAAGGTTATTGCAATCGCATTGTGCTCGAAATTCGAGAACAAAGTAGATTTTATGCAGATAACATTATTATTTCACACTCGCTGTAGAGAAGGCATTACAGACAGAAAGCTACATTTAGCTTGTTAGTTGAGTACTGCGAAAAGTGCGCGTCTCACTCTCGCGCTTGCTCCTTCAAAACTTCGCTCTACAGATACCGCTAAAGGAAGAAAGATGTTAGAAATGATAGATAGTAAGAATGGAGAGATAGTTTGTTCAATTCGAATAAATTGCTATGGTCTATAGTTTAGTGGGGTCTTCAATAGAGCTGAATAACAATACAACAAATACAACAATACACAATACATCATTCAAACTGGGCTGTAGAATCGAAATCGTACTTTCCATTCTAATCAAAACTCTGCAACAACTGCGAGTCGCTGCAGTTGACATACTTAAATTAGTATATTTCAGTTATAATCTGAAACAAAATTTTATGATGAAATAACATCGGTTGACAAATTAAAGCCGGTCGGGAGAGAGATTTAGGCCTTTCAAAATCATAAATCTATATTTTTACACTTTTGACTTTTCACTATTATTAAAATATAAATACTTTTTTTATCCGCTATAAATTTTTTAATAAAGAATGCTACGGAAAAACTGGGACTGTGTTTTACATAGAATTGCGGTTTCATAAAAAACTCGGCTTAATACTCCGCTGCGCGAGAATACGCGATTATGCGAAACAATACGCGTAATCGATTCCAAAACGTCATAGAACGTATAATCACCGCTTGAGAACGTAAGACTACCGCTCTCTCCGACGCTTGCGCTTGGATTAGTGTGCAAAAGCGCATAAGGACGTGGCCGTCAACGTCACGTAATACTGTATATCATATCGCGCTGCGGCACGTAAAATGGAATTTATCGATTGCGCGAAATTTATCTCACGTGACGTGATACTGATGAAAAATATGCAGCCCCGTTTAGTCCACGCCTCACGAAATTTTAAGGACAGCAATTTGTGCTCGGCGTGGTAGACAAAATGGGCTTGGGTTTTAATCCACCCGAAAATTTTTAGTGTCCGCGAAAATGCATCTACGTAAGCGCATTAATGCCGCGTTTTAGGGAAATTTCGTCCCGGGTATTTTTTAAACGGACGATCCTGTATGTTCGGGTCTGTAATTCAGTTGAAGGGTGCGAGCCCTGTCGGCGATGGAGTTATAATCGAATTGTTTAGGATCGCGTGTTCGGTCACGGACGGTGTTGACGATGCGGGCTCTAACCTCGTTTCTTTCTTTCCGTTTTTTTTCCCCAGTGCATCAACTTGCACTGATTATTCAAACGAATTTCACTGATAAACTGTCACGCGCAGAATCACGTCGCATCTCCGGAAAATACTTGCAAGCTGCGTTAGTTATTATCCGCGCAAGTTCTTCCAGCTCCACGCATCCGTCGAGGACGTTTTAATCGCGTGATTAATAGGTTATGCGCATTAGTTGTTACGAAGTTTCAACGTTGTGCGATGACTTCTTGGAAGTAAGCGTGTTTCTTGCATGTGCGCGCGAGATGAATTCGTGCGCGAAGCGATTGGATACACACGGTGGCGAACTATGCGTTACACGTACTGCATTAACCGCATTCGCTACGTTATTAATAACTTTGCGCTTGAATTTAGGTAATCAGTCGCGTACGTACTTTCGCAGGTAAATGAAGCGCGATGTTCTAGCGCAACGAGGAGCAGCCAGCCGCGTCCTACTCTCGCAAATAAACGGAAACTTTCGTCGGAATGAAGAATATATCTCCTTTATGCGGAACATGGCAATCGGCTAAATCGGATGAGCTTACAAAGTCGATCACAAATGATATTACACGTTATGAAAGTTCCGTGATTACTTTAATCAAATATGGCACGGTACGCCGCTTCGATAGCGAGAGGATATTCCAACCACGTCCGATTCCACGGAACTTTAGTCATAATTTCGCCGCGACTTCTTTCTTTCTAGCAATTAACTCTATCGCGTTATGAATTTTTTTCTCATGCTCTTGCCTGATTTGTCGGAGCGGCTATTAAAACGGCCACACGACCCTCTGTAGAGCACTTGAGAATGTCGTCCAGTCCCTTTTGGCATTAAGTAAATCAATATTTACCTAGTAGGCGAACATGTGTAATAATGAAATTTGACAGTTCCCTCGCGCTTGAAATTAGTTGGCATAGAGAAACCGGAAGAGAAAGAGAGATAGAGAGAAAGAGAGAAAGAGAGAGAGAGAGACAGAGAAGAAGAGGGAGTGGAAAGAGGCTGGGTATATATGGCGGATGATGAAGTACCCCGACGGTTTTGACACGACGAGCGGCAAACAGAACGGAGTTACTCGAGGGAACGGTGTTTCCCCGGATTTCCAAGCGGTAATTGCGCGGAAGTGAGAGAACGTGAAAAACGTTATTCCGCACGACCCGCTTCGCGATCGCTATCTCTTATATCGCTATCTCTTCCCGGGAAAAGGGGAAAAAAGAAGGGGAAAAAAAAACTCGGCTTTAAGAACCGTCGGACGAGGTGGGACTTCTCTTCACCGCGATATATCGAAAAGGCATTTTTAACGGTTTGGAGAGCACGAACTGCGAGAACGCGGAATCGTACTTTACCGCCGTTCGCCGCCGACTCTCTCTCCACGGAAAGGAGCCACGCGTATCGTTAAACCTTGTATTTTTATCGACGATGTTTCTAGCGCCGAGGCGTGACAAAGCCGATACTTGCTGAACGCTCGGAGCACGAAAAATGGAAACATTTTTCCACGCCTTGAAACCCTAGGTGGGCTCTCGTGCAGAAAATAATACGGCTCCTGCGTGCAGTCGAATATGCGCCGCAATCTGCGACCCGATAATTCTTGTTGAAAAAGCGTCGTTGCGGCGCTTGATGTGTTGCCGATTTATTAGCGACGCTAATGATTTTATCTATCACTGTCAAACCGACCGTATAACGAGCGGACCATATGAATATGCATGGGAATAATGATGATCGCTTAAATCTTTGATCACAAAAACCGTTTTATATTCAAAAGCGTAAACACTGTATTATGTTCGCAAGTGAAAAGATAGAAATTTAAATTAATTCAAAAAACCATAAAAATTACTCGCTAACGATGCTATTTAATTTGTCCACAAATAAAAGTATTCCAAGCAGATTACATTACGGAAAGTGAGGCAAGATAAATATAAGGTCGGATTGTTAAACGTAAATGAAAAAAGTATGTTTGTAATAATTTTTTCTTTGAGCGATCAACGATCAGTCTTGTGATTCTTATTTCGATTTTTATTCCACAGTCGAACAAGTAGCTGAATGACGAAGCGAGTTTCCCGAAACTTTTGATGTTTTATATACACTTTATATACGCGCGCGTGCGTGTCTCCCTTCTTCAGCGATTCCAATACGTCCTAACTAAATCTAACTCTTAGGTCAACGAAAGACCGACGGCGAAAAGTTCGACGGGAATAGACGAGTTGAATTGGCGAATTGGATACATCTCCGCAGCCGTGGAGATTTCGTGGAAGGAACGCGAAGTTCGTATTAATTTTCGAAACGATATTTCAACGCTTGTAGCTCGCTGTCGTATCACGTTTGGAAGGTACAGCCGTGGTTTTTTACGAAATTGATATTTCACTTAAATGTCATTCATATTATATAAACATTTCCGATAGATTGAAATTCTCGATTTCGGAGGCAAAATTGATTTTTGCATATTTAAACGGATCGGGTTAGGCTATAGCGTTTCAGATATCAGGATTGCGAGCGAGCATACATTAATACATACATTATGATGTTTCGTGAACAAACAAGATAAAAAGGGAAATAAAGGGAAAAAAATCGACTCACCCCATCGATGAATCGTAACGACGATAATCAAAGCGCGATTTGCGTTTGCAGAGGTGATCCGGGGCGACATGAACTCGAGCGGCGAATCCGGCGGAACGATGACAGAAGACTACGAGGGCGGCTGCAGCGTGCCGGAAGAGGAGACGGGCTCGAATCTACCGACGTGGGAGGCGGTGGCGGCCACGCTCACCCTGAGCTTCCTCGTACTGGCGACGGTGTTCGGCAACGCGCTCGTGATCCTGAGCGTGTTCACATATCGACCGCTGCGCATCGTCCAAAACTTCTTCATCGTCTCGCTGGCGGTGGCCGATCTCGCGGTGGCGATTCTCGTGATGCCGTTCAACGTAGCCTACCTGCTGCTGGGCAAGTGGATCTTCGGCATTCATCTGTGCAAGCTGTGGTTGACGTGCGACGTGCTCTGCTGCACCGCCAGCATCCTCAATCTGTGCGCGATCGCGCTGGACCGCTACTGGGCGATTACCGATCCGATCAATTACGCGCAGAAGCGCACCCTGAAGCGCGTCCTGGGCACGATCGCCGGCGTGTGGATACTCTCGGGCGCGATCAGCTCGCCGCCACTGGCCGGCTGGAACGACTGGCCGGAGGAGCTGCATCCGGGAACGCCGTGTCAGCTCACGAGACGGCAGGGCTACGTTATATACTCCTCGCTGGGTTCGTTCTTCATACCGTTGCTGCTGATGAGCCTGGTTTACCTGGAAATCTTCCTGGCGACGCGCCGACGGCTGCGAGAGCGAGCGCGGCAGAGCAGGCTCGGCCCGGTGCAGTCGACGCGACAGCGCGAAACCGACGACGCCGAGGAGTCGGTGAGCTCGGAGACGAATCACAACGAGCGCTCGACGCCGCGCTTGCAAGCGAAGCCGTCGTTGATCGACGACGAGCCGACGGAGGTGACGATAGGCGGCGGCGGCAGCGGCGGTAACACCAGCACGTCCAATAGACGCGGCGGCGGCGCCGGCATCGCTCCCGGCACTTCGACCACCGTTTATCAGTTCATCGAGGAGCGACAGCGGATCTCGCTGTCGAAGGAGAGACGCGCGGCGAGGACTCTGGGCGTTATCATGGGCGTCTTCGTCGTCTGCTGGCTGCCGTTCTTCCTCATGTACGTCATCGTGCCGTTCTGCCCGGCCTGCTGCCCGTCGGACAGAATGGTGTACTTCATCACGTGGCTCGGCTACGTCAACAGCGCGCTCAATCCCCTCATCTACACGATCTTCAATCTCGATTACAGACGGGCGTTCAGACGGCTGCTGCGATTCCGCTGAGCCGTGCCCCGCCGAGCCGACGTTTAATTCCCCGGTGGTTCGGCTTGAGAAAAAAATCCTCGCGCGACGTTGAAGCGGTGTGGAAACTCGCGGCGTGCCGGTTGGTAGCCGCCCGTCGCGTCTTCTAAATCCCACAGGATTTCTGTCTCGCTAACCTACCGTCAAAGTCGTTGAATAAGTTCTTCGTCCACCAGGGAAAAGCGCGTCACTCGTCGTTATCGCGCCCGGCACGGCGGTAATTAACGAGAATTTAAGCCTCGCTCGCTCGTTTCGCGTCGTAGATCATTACGTTGCGCGGTGAAACCCTTGCGCGCAGTCAGCACAAAGACGACGACGACGACGATGACGACGACGACGACGACGACCACCACGTCGCCGCGACGAGTTACGAAACGGCAAAATGTCGCGGAGCAAGCAAGTTCACCAAAATGTAAATTGACAGGACTGTTGCCGCTTTGCGACAAGTTACGAGCTGATCCTGCGAAACTCGGGTCGCCGATAATTCATTTTCGACTTTGCAACGTTTAATTAAAGTATCCATCTTGTTGGCGCGAGCAATTACATTCGTCCGACCAGCAGCGATGAAGAACACGCTCATAATTTTCTACGGATGAAACTCGAGACGACGCTCCGTTATTTGTGTCGCGGAAAAGAGAAATGTGTAAGCTTCTTCGGACGGTAAATCTCAATGTCATAATTAGGAGGAATTAAACAGAAGGGAATTAAAGATACTTGTTTGCGTAAAAATTAAAATTTCTAGGATTATTCCGCGTTTTTTTATTTTTCGATCTCAATTATTTACGGAATTCTTTTTAATCGCGAGATTTTGAAAGTAAATTTTTCCTTGGGGGATTAAAACCATCGCGTAGTTAGGAAAGTCTCGAGGATTTCCCGTACAATCGGTGTAACGAATTGCCGCGATCAAGCCGAAGAGCGATATACACTTAACGTTGAAACTCGTGGAAAATTTATCAAGGATTCCGAGAAGATGTTGGGGGAAATGGATGCGGTTTCATCCGAGAGCACGCGGTGCGCCGCAATCAAGATTGGCAGCCAGACCGGCGCTGAGCCGCCCCTGAAGAGCTTTCAAAGACGAAAGTTGGAGGGGAAACTTTTCTTGAAAATGATAAAGAAAATTATGCTTCTGTGCTGTGCTTGGCCGGCGACCATTTTTCCCGGATATCATTATCATTATTTAAAACTTCCGTGTGAATTATCCTTCTATCGCGTTTCCGAGAATTAATCTAAAAGATGATTAATGATTGAATGTAGCACTCGAAGGCGTAGTGTGATTTATCACGATTAAAAGTGCTCGTTATCGAATCGAATTTAGGTCGTCGAAAAGATTCGCAAGAGGTTAATCGCGAGGGACCACCGTTTCTTCCCTCGCGCGAAATTCAACGTTCGCCGCGTGTGTTTTCCGATCTCGGATGAGTGCAAAAAGAAGAGAAGTGGAATGTCGAGCGACCGTCTGTTGATTTGGCGAATCGCGCGTAGGGTGATAAAAAAAAAGGAGGAAGACGCGCTTTTCTCACCAACGACAACGGAGAGAGGTAAATTGTGCGCGCGCGTTTCAGGTAGATCCGATAGATCTATCGCTCGTTAACAATTGCAAGTATTACGGTTGTGAATAATTAATTACCTAACCCATAAATCTCTCAATCGCGGAGCATGTAGCAGTAAGAAGCATCGTTCAAGCGTCACCGCCGACGCGGTCGTCACCGCGGCGCGACGTTAACGGCAACGATTCGGTCAAATTTCCGGTAGTTTATGCCGCGCGTGCGGTCACGACCGCGCATTGTATAAAATTACACTTTAAATCGCCTCCGGATGTATTCACGTTGACACGCGATTATATTCGTATCTATATAGTGTTTCAGAATCACCGCACATTTGTTTTAATAACGGCTCCTTTTACGTTTACAACCGATTTCTCTTTACGGAAGAAACCGCTGCTCATTACAACTTTTTTATCATTCATCGTTAAGAGTTTGAATGGCTCTACATTATTTGTAATTTTTTACCTTATTTTTCATAGAAATATGATGGTGTGTCGTAAAGGAATGAAAGATATTGTTATTCCTCCGCGCACTCAAAATGAAACTTTTACTAACATTTCTCGAAACAATCAAACTAGCGGTGTACTCATTTGAGAGTCCTCCAACAAATACGGATTTTAAAATGATTCACGATTGTTTTGTCGTCGAAACTTCTTAGCGAGGAGTTTTCGCTATTAAGAGTTGCCTTCGAGAGTAAAACTCTCAAGTGAATATCCACTCCCGCGTCTCTCTCTCTCTATCTTCCTCCATTGTCCGTGAATAAAATATGTATCGGTGGTTTCGAAGCACTCTGTAGACTCACGTATCAGCACACACGTACACGAGACATTCACACGTGCCACACAAACACACACACACACACCCGCGAAGTAATATTTATATGACCAGAATACAATTTAAAGTATCTTTAACGATAAAAAATGAGGGAACAGGCGGCGAGAAACCGCCATCTCCTCGAGTGCCGCGCCAAAACGATGAATTAAGGTGAATCGGTGGGAAAGAAAAAGAGAGGGGAAAAAAATAGATTAGACGTGCGAGCTAGTGTAAGCTCGACCTCGTCTCACCAGGGCACTCTATAATAAGGTTGTGATAAGGTTGTGAGAACACGTTCGTAGCCGTGCTACGGACGACATAAGATTTTTAATTACTAGGATAGGGAACATTTCTCTACTCGAGTTATACTCTCCGATGCAGCGTTACCTCCTACCCAAGAAGGAAAATGAGGAGGGGAAAGAGCGGTTAATACAATACGAGAAAGAGGGAACCAACATTTACGATACCCGACCACTTTTAGACGAATATATCGAGACCTTTTTCTTCGCGTCTTACAGGTAAAACCCCACAGGTAGTCCCTGATATTTGCACGGCTAACGCCGGATTACATTTCCGTCGAAGTGAAATCCCATTTGCGTAAAACATACGTGACTGCTTTCGTCTAAAAGACTCCGGCGCTCGCTTCTTATTTGGAAGGAATATTTACGCGGTAGATTTTTGAGATCCGTAGATTTTAGCACTTCCCGCGCTACGCAAACTTTTTATCATATTCTTTCATAAATTCATATGTATTCAAATGTAGTCAACATCAACTGATTGGAGTGCTTTATCGTATTAAATCCGAAACATATCGACAATTTATATTTCTCCTTTTAGTGCAAAGCGAAATCTTTACTGTTTGAGCTTGAGAAATATTTTTCCGCGCTTTCACGAAGATATTAATAAGTGCCAAAATAACGTCCCACTTATCGCGCTTTAGTGAAGGAACTTCAAACATAAAGTTTATTGCAATATTCTTTGCCTTTGTGCGTTTTCCCCAATACTTTTATTGTTTTCTTTCCTCTCAAGTTATTCCGCTGAATAAAACAACGTTGGGCTTTCCGAATGCCGATACCTTGGGTAGGAATTTCAAATGCATAGTTTATGATATTATATTATATATATTGTATATTATATCGCATTACACGCATTAATCACACGTACGTATCAGCAGTTCGATTCTCAAAGAGCGTTTCGCGAATCGGTGCGCGGCTCGTTTTAATCTTCTTCCGCGACTCTGTCCGAGGTTTAAGTAGAGCGATATTTATTTTTTTTAATGACAAGGACATTTTGAAAGATAATTTATCAAACGACATTTTGGACGCCGCGAAACGATTCGTGACGCGCGAGAATCTCACATTGTAATCGAGCCTGGTCGCTCGATATAAAGAATACAACTCTAGATACGTCTGATAAATAAAAAAAGATATATATATATATATATACACATCTAGTTGATAAAATGATACTCCGTTGGTTGTGATTTACAAGTATAGCAATACAGATACTCGTCTCTGCGTAGTAATGTATCGCGAACGGAGCTTTCCTTTCCCAGTTTAAAGTTGCTTTCTACACAATTTGTATTTTCGCGAATGCGGAAGTAGTTACTTCAGGGAAAATTTCTGGCGGATAAAAATGAGTCCGCACACACAATGGCTATTTTATTCGTCGTCATTTTGCCATATTAATTTTTAATATTGTTGATATTTCTTTACGGAGAGAAAATATAGCGAATCTTTCACGTTGCGTATGCATCTTTTTACGGAAAAATATGGATATGTTTTATGATACTTATATAGAATATTGCAGAGAAGAAAATCATGCTTTATTGCGAGGCGCAAGAGGAAACGAAATGCTGAGAGAGAAAAATATTTTTAAATTCAAACGGAAATAGAAGATAGATTCTGGTTACAATATAACCTAGGATTGTGTAGATACCGAGAGACAAATAATGCCTATTTCGATAAAGCATATTTGGCGTTTCCAAAGCGCGTTCACCATTTCGGTATTGGGGCGTATTTAATGAAAATTGATGTCAATAGAATCGCAACACCACTTCGATTTAGTGGACCGCCGTTACCATTTGCATAAACACCACGAATGTATGTATGTACACCTACCAGATACACGCGCGAAATCTGCGGAGATTTATGAAAAGGATTTTCCACAAAAAAGTCTCGTGCAGATAAAAAAAATATTTCTTTCATAAGCAATGTCATATTAAAGCGAATTACTGTCTGCGTTTTTTTTTTCTTTAAGTGGCTAAAATAAGCTTTTAATTTGCATCAAATAAGGGATGAAAAACTAAAATGCTTTTGCACATAATTTTTAAAAGCTTTTTCAAATCATGTGCAAAACCCCGTTTTGTTATGACATTCTTGCTCTTTCGTTTATTTACATACTTAGTTCAGCATAGTTGTTGTTTCCATGTGAAAGGTTCAGTGCGGAATAAATGTAATATTTATTTTATCTACTCGGATGCGTCGCTTATAAACAATGTACACGGAAGGTGTGACACAGAATTTATATTACAATATTTCAAACTCTCGCGTGAGAAAGATTTCGAGAACAGGTTGCTATGAAGAAATCTGGGAGGAGCTCCGCTCGCATTTAGAAGCGCAGATCGAACGAGCGTTCATGTGAGCCTGTCGCTTGAATGTGTGCATGTAAAATCAATTAATGAACAAGACGGATATACTGACGTACGTGTATGCACAGTAAGTGACCAGCGTGCGAGTGGTGAGTGTGTCCACGGACGATTACGATGTATCTATACTACGATGAACATCGTAGACAAAAAAAAAGAAAAAAAAAAGATTTGTTTCGATCAGCGCCAATTGTGACGGACGCACGAAATGCTGAAATTTCTCTGCGCAAGTGTCGAACACA